TATCTGACGGTGTAGCATAAAGCTCTCACATATCCTTCTCAGGTTGCTGGGTGTCCCCGCTATCTCAAGCTCTTCACTTACATTCGGCCTTGACTGCTACAGAAAAGATATTCACCAAATCAAGTATCTTGAATCAATATTCTGACATTAATTAGCTCTTGATTGACTCTGGTTGATTTTTTCTGGCGAATCAAGAGCCGGTAACAGTAAAATTTTGGTTCATTACCGGCTCTGATTGATTTAGAACTAAGACTAATAATAAAATTAGAGACCAAACATGGCATTTAAAAATCGCCCAATGTTTACAATCAATCATCTTTTAGTCCATAACATAAGTAAAAGAGAGATAGACCTATAAAACGACAACACTGTCCAGTGGCGGCGTGTTCAGTTTCCTCTGAATTTTTCCCAGAATTCAATAGAAGTTTTACTCACAATAAATTACCATAAATATCCTCTAACTACGCCATTGTCAAGAGTAAAATGATGTCAAATTACATACCGCCGAAATATTGAAATGTGCTTGGAATTATTACAAATAATACATCGACGTACTATTTTAACGTACTGCACCACACTTTCCACAGTTTTAAATCCAAAAGTACCACTGATTAACACTCAAAATCACAAAATTAGCTCACAGCAACACTGGCAAATCCATTATGGCTGACCAAGTCACAAAATATCATCTGATTGGCTGCTCGTAGATGCAACGTTGCCAATGTGCCATTTTTTGAGCAATACAGGGTGTATCAGGTATGAGTACAAATATTTTAACATGAGATAATATGGCCCATTTCAACCTAAAACTGTCCCATCAACCATGGATCAATTGTTAGTATTTTCGGAGTTATCGCAGAATTTAAATTTAGGAAAATGTTAACAACGTGACAACATTGTACAGGTATTATCTCTGCCAGGATATAAATGTAAATAAAACGGGTAACCTTAAAAAGTTTTTTTTTTGCACGGAGTTTATTTATTTCCAAGTTTATTTCCGTCTGTTTACGTTTTGGTTTGTTATTGACTTAAAAATAATGTAAATAATAACTTGCATTTTTATCACTTTTCTAGTGAAAATAAAAAATGTATGCCGTTTTATTAAGTTGTGAATTGCACTCAATGGCATTTTTGCACTAAACATTCAAGAGAAAAATCAAATAATACTTACTCAGCTACTTGTCAAATCTTTATCATGAAAATATTAATTTTTGTTAAAAGGTTCTCAAAACACTAAAATCAATACGTAGATTTTGCACACTCACAACTCACCCTTCCTATATCACGCAATCTTTGTAAAACGAACACAATGTTCTTCATCAGGTGGGTGCTTTTCTTTTGGGAAATCTTTCCCTAGTTTCCTTGTAAATTCTGGCGGCTATATGAGCATTTTGCAATGTTTCTGCCTAAACAAGTATCTGCATATTCGATGTTTCTAAACATTTTATTTTCAAAAAAGAATGAATTTGAATTACGCGCGTTTCCCAACTAGGCAATACAAATCAAGAATCAATTATTTATTCAGCTCCACCAATGTTCAACCTTCAATCATCTATTCTTTATTGTACTGTGTTGCCAGATGTTTAGATACCCTTTTACAAGTGAAATTTGTATGTTGTTTTTTACAATTTTTTGTTATTGTTGTTGACTAAAAATGCATAATTACCTAATAATTGGATAAACTAAATTTTTCTACATCTCATAATGATGAGGCAAATATCTTGAAAACTAGTAGTCAGATTTCGAAATAAATTACAGATCTGTAAAGTCATCTCAAATACCTCTCAAACAAGGTACCACTCGACCCAGTTTCCCTATTCAAGTTTTAAGGGTGCAACTCACCCCGGTAAGGGGGTGCAATCTAGAAAAATTTTGATATAGCCAAAAAGTGTCCTCCTTGCAAACAAAATTGACGTGTTTCGGCGTTTTCTCAATTTCTTGATAATTTTCGAGAAAATCCAGGTGGATCTTTTTTAATTTTCCACCCTGTATATACATTGAATCAATATTTTGACAGCGGTTCTTGATTGACTTTGGTTGATTTTTTCTGGCGAATCGAGAGCCGGTAACAATAAAAATTTGATTCATTATCAACTCTCATTGTTTTAAAAAGAATTTTCAACGAATCAAAAACCAAAAATCCATGTTTTGACATCTTGATTGACTTTGGGCGAATCAAGAGCCAGTAATAATCAAAATTTCACTTATTATCTGCTCTTGATTGCTTCAGAAAGAATATTTGACTAATCAAATAGAACCAGAAATCAATATTTTGATTGGCTTTTGGTTAGTTTTGATCTGCTCTAGCAATTTGATGAAGCTTTAAGATTTATCTTTTGAAAACATGAAACTTCAAAAACTCAGTGGCAAGGGGTAAACCACCATCCCAAAATTGGTGCAAACAATTCCTCAAAGGGGAATTTTTTACGCATAATTCCTCAAAATTCCTGCAAATTCCTCCAAATTCTTACAGATAACCCATCACAAATTCCTCCAAATACCCCACCACGAACTTTTTCAAGTACCCTACAAATCCTGAAAAAAGGGAAAATTTTGAAACTTTTTGCATGTAAAGAGGACGCTGAAAAGTTCATTTTCCTAAAATTTCAAATTATTCCAGTAGAAAACAGCAACTTGAAAAATTTTGGAAATCAACCTACAAAAACTGAATTAGTTGAAAATAGAGTACCTATCACATATTTCAAAGTTTTTCTGGAAAACTAGTGAAGGGAAAATTTTGAAACTTTTTGCATGTAAAGAGAGAGGTAAGAAGCTCATTTTCCCCAAATTTCAAATTTTTCCATTGGAAAATAACAACATGAGGATTCTTGGAAATCAACCTACAATAATTGAATTAATTGAAAATACAGTCTCACACATTTCAAAGTTTTTCTGGAAAACTACTGAAGGGAAAATTTTGAATCTTTTTGCATGTAAAGAGGAACGTAAGAAGCTCATTTTCCCAAAATTTCAAATTTTTCCAGTCGAAAATAACAACATAAAGAATATTGGAAATCAACCTACAATAACTGAATTAATTGAAAATACAGTCTCACATATTTCAAAGTTTTCCTGGAAAACTAGAGAAGAGAAAATTTTGAAACATTTTGCATGTAAAAAGGAAGGTGAGAAGATCATTTTCCCAAATTTTCAAATTTTTCTAGTAGAAAATTACATGAGGAATCTTGGAAATCAACCTACAATAACTGAATTAATTAAAAATACAGTCTCCCACATTTCAAAGTTTTCCTGGAAAACTAGTAAAGGGAAAATTTTGAAACTTTTTGCATGTAAAGAGGAAGGTGAGAAGCTCATTTTCCCAAAATTTCAAATTTTTCAAGTGGAAAATAACAACATAAGGAATATTGGAAATCAGTCTACAAAAACTGTATCCATTATTCTTTTGAATTTTTTAAATTTGGACCTGTAAATCATAAAGTGTAATTTTGGGAGAATTTCTTTAATAAAAATGAATATCCAACATCCAACACAAAACTATTTTTAATTTCCATTTATTAATATTTCTTATGATAAGAATGTGAATCTCAGTGACGTCATGACCCTACAATTTTTTTTTAATTTCTCACAAATTCTCCCAAATTCCCCATAAATTGCTCAAAATTCCCTATAAATTCCCCAAATTCTCATAAATTCCGATGAGTTCCTTCAAATTCCCCACCAATTCCTCTAAATTTCCCACAAATTCCTCTAAATTCCCCACATTTTTGGCAAAGAATTCCTAGGTGGTTTACCCCTTGCTCAGTAGTATTAAAAGATAAAATTTCCGGCAATTGTAGCTTTAATTATATTACAAAAAAAGGTGATTCTTGTTAATATCGCTACTTATAGAGATTGCTGTTTGTTAAGAAAATTAATTTTGAAGTTTTTAGCAAAGTTTTAATTGAAACTAAATTTTGTGTGCAAAGAGATGGATACTGTCGTGGTCTTCAACATCTCAACAAAATACAGGCCTAAGGCCTATAATATGAAGAAGTTTTGAAAATCTTGGAGCTTCATAAAGTATGTGCCTCTAATAAAAGACTCTTTTGTGTGAAACATTCCTACATCTATACACATACAGAGTCCAAGTTTTCCATATCAATTTGATCATAATCTCACTTGTAAGCGGTTCAATTTAATTTTTTCATCCAACATCTGAAGATTTGCAGGCCTATTGAAATCCCAACAGAATAAAAGTCCGAGTCTGGTAAACGAAGAGGCCATTTGCTATGAGTAATCGACGCATCATCCACACAACTTGGTGTTTGAAATAAAAATTAGCACGACCGCTGAAATACCAACTTTATCAATGGGGGCACCGCAGAACAATGACTAATCCATCCATCACCCAAAAAAATGAGTAATAATCCAGCTTTTGACGACAATGCAACCGAATACCAACTGATAAAACTTCAAAAGCAAAATATGAAAAGTTCAAAAGATAAATAATTAATGAAGCTCACAACAAAATACAAAGTCAGTCACCAGGAAGAGTCTTCACACATTAGCTCCATGGTTTGCCGATCATAAAACCGAAAAACGTAACAACCATGAAATCGTTAAGAGACTCGGTACCTCTACTACCAAAGATAAAACAAACCGACTGTTAGGGCTAATTAACAGAGCACTACCTTAATTAACATGCCTTTAAAATCGTTTTTTCTGGCGGCATCGTGTCGATTTCAAACACTTGCGTGTATAAATACACTTTGGCTTTGTTCTATTTAAAATTAACCGGCTCGGTAGCAGGTTATTTGTTTACCGATATCTAGTAAATTGAACCTGTAACGGTTCTTAAAAAGCTTGTATTCCCACGTTTTAAAAGGTGTCAAAGCAAATCTCTATATGCACCGGAACCAAAATTATCATTATCAAAACTGCGGCAACATTCAAACATAATTAACCCATGAGAAATGCAAATATTGAGCCTCAGATTAAGTCTTTTTGGTGCTGGGGCAAATAGAAAATAGAGCAGGTACTTCTTGATGTTTTTGTTACAGGGCAGCTTCAGACAAACGAAAACTTCACGTTAAACGACCGATGAACGCTTTTATGGTATGGGCTCAGGCTGCAAGAAGAAAATTGGCCGACCAATATCCGCAGTTGCACAATGCCGAATTGTCGAAGACACTTGGAAAGTTGTGGAGGTAAGAAACCATATTCTTATAAAACGTTGTAGTTGTATAAAAACTTATAAGAGTGTTTAGAAGCAGAAGTTACATAGTAAAACATGTTTTGTAATAGGTTTGAAGACAAACAGAAACAATGTCTTGTAAATCTCAAAAATTCTTTAATTTTCTTGACAGAAATACTACCGGTTTCGGAACTTCAATGCATAATTTTCAGGTATAAAAGCCTAAAAAAATGAGGTTGGATTCTCTTCAATAAATCAACTCCCAATCCTTCGATAATTTATCCAATTTCTACGTATACCTAATCCTTTCCAACATCAGCGAAAGGTGATCTTGCCAAGTTGATCCGCTGCTCAGGTAAATTGCCCATCAGTAGAATTAAAGATTTGATTTGGGTTTAAATCGGAAGCACACAATACATTTGCGGACAACACGCTTAGCAAGATTTTTGCCTGAAATTGCCCAATAAGATTCTCGAACATGTGACTGTAAGTGCTGCGGCCCACAATGGAAAAGCTCGACATGATTAAATTTAAAAATGAGGTGGGTTAATGTATTTTTAGCCGGAAGAACTATTGGGTGCTTTTTGTCAAATGAGTAACTGGAGTGTTTCAGTCTCCCTCCCACTCTTATGATCCCATTTTCAAGAAAGGGCGTCAAACTTTGAAGCTTGCTCTTATCGCCAACATATTCTGATTTTTTGAGTTTTTCGAGTTCTAAAGGGAAAGACTCTTTTTGAACCATCTTAACCAATAAGTTCATGGATTGAGCTAATTCATCCAAAGTTTTTTTTTTGTACTGCGGGGTTTTTGAGATTATGAATGAACCTTAGAAAATATACTACCGTTTTTTTAACTTTTGGTTAAAGATGAGAATCTTTCAAACGGAAACCAACATTGAGTATCGACTTGAAAAAAAACTTTTACTTTGTTTTCTAATTTCTGGAAGTTTTTCATAAGGGATTGGATTTGGACGTGAAATATCTAGAGGCCAAAAAGCTTTGTTTTGTTTCAACCAAGAAGGTCCGTTAAACCTAATGGTTGAATGTAGAAGTTGTTTTGAGGATAAGCCCCGAGAAAGACAATCAGCTGGATTTTATTCTGTTGGTAAATGCCAATTTGCAGCATTTGTCAAGGACTGAATTTGCACTACTCGATTTCCAACAAAGGATTGCAATGTATGCAGGGGTGTTTGATTTCACCAAAGAGCAACAGTGAAATCGCTCCACATGAGGTAATTGTCAATTTTCATAGTTAAGGAATTCGAAAGCTTTGAACAGTGTCCTAACTAGGGCGTGGCGATTGTGGCGAAGGTAGCATTTACCACGGGCGCAAGCTTCAAAAGGGCGCAATCTGTCACTTATTGTTAAGCTTAAAGCGCATTTTGCGCAACACGCCAAAAGTTCAAAGAGCGCTTTCTGAATTTTATACTTAATACGGCGAAATAGATATTGATTTATTGATATGGTACTAAAACAATACAGAAAAAGATAGAAACCAAAAATGCCCAGTGAAGAAGGAAAGACGAGGCCCATCTTTTCTATAACACATTTGGAAGTTGAACTTTTGCAAGTCATTCAGGCAATCATAATACAGGCTGGATTCGGTAATTGCATCTGCGAGCAAAAAAAACGAATTTTGAAGGACGTTAAGTCATCACTTACCTTTTTCACCGGCGTATCCAGCCCATGCGTCTGGGGGGTGTAATCAGCCCATTTTTTCCCGGGTGCCACGCCCAAAAACGTTTACTTTGAGCCTTAAAAAAAAATTTTTCTACGAGAGTGAGGACAATCAAAGAGTGCGGAAAATCGATTTTCTCGCACGGTGCGGCGAATTTTTTTCCGCACGGATATCGGTGTGGAAAAATCTAATTGACCTTTTCAATTTAGAAGCCTCTCTCTCTGGTGTCAGACTGTCAGACGCCAAAAGAGTATGAAAACAATGATTGACAACTATCGATAGTGGTTTGTTGACAAGAGTTTTATACGTGTGAGACTGGAAACTATTATTTCCTCGGTTTTTTCAAGGTTTTTTCCTAACAATGGTGATTGTGTGTAGTGTGCCTTTTCGTGAAAATAATTCCTATTCACCGGCGGACGTGTCTTTCCATAAGTTTTCATCAAATCCTACATTTGTCAAAATTTGGATACACAAAATCAGAACTGATACTCGCAAAAGTAAGGGAAATCCACGACCCATCAAGTATACAAAGATATCCACGTTCAAGTTTAGTTTGCGGAAGCTGTTTGCTTCCCACATTTTCTTTCCAATTTCAAATTTCACCGTTCTATGTCGGTCATTGTCATTTTCCATTCACTGAACAAAGATACCTAACTCATCGGTGGAGTCACCGATTAGAATAAAAACCAGGGGATTGCTAAACACCCTATACACTTGACATTGACGAGCAAGCAAATGTTGGCGGGAATCTGAATGTTTTCATACTTTATCGTCCATCTCTTTTAATTGAAAACGTCAATTCCTCAACGAAAAGTAAAAATGTGGCAACTACAGAAAAGCGTTCCGAAAGTAATCGAATTACTAATTACTGGTTCCTGGAAAAGAGGTTACTTTTGGACCTCAGTTTCCTGCAAGGATACTACACACTACTACTATAGGATAGTCTATCCTCATAAGGCCTGTGTAGTTCAATCTGAAGCCGCCGCTGCCATGCCAAAATATCAGTGATGACGCAGACAGCGTGTCGTTTCTCGTCTTCACGTAGGGTGTTTGTACCACAGGTTATGATTCCGCGGGCTTTTCCTTTATGCAAAACTTGGTTTCACTACATTAATTAATATTCTGAAAAAACTCTTTCTCGTTTTTGGTAATCGCCGCCATATTGGTTTTTCACTGTTTTCAACCATTGTCGACGTCATAACTAAGTTTTCAGCTGTTTAAACAGCCTACGTCAAGGCGAGAAACGCCATGCTGCTTACGTCACAACTGGTTGTTTGGCTAAGGGGGGTAGAGGGGGATTTTTTACAAACAGGCCTTATGAGGATAAGCCATCTTGTAGTAGTAGTAGTGTGTATCATCCTTGGGTATATGTGCCTACTTATTTCCGCACGTCTGTAAAAAAACTATTGTACCTAACACATGCGGAAAATCTGTCTTCCGAACTTGGCTACTTCACCGAATTCCGCTACGCGTCTTTGGGTGAACGACAGACTCGTGCGGAAAAATTAATTTTTCGCACTTGTTAGGTAAATATATTCTGTACTACCAACAAATAACGAAACCGAACTCTGATAGCGAATTCCATTGGAATAAAGGTTAGTGCGCACCGAGTGTATTCGTATCTTATTCTACCAGCTTATATAAGAAAGAGATAAAAATACACTCTTTCGCACTGATTTTACCAATGGAATTTGCTATGAGAATCGCCTAAAACTTTTCAATTATAGGCAGAGCGAATTCTATTGGTAGGATTAATACAAAAAAATTATTTATCTCTTTCTTATGCAAGCTAGTAGAGAAAGATATGAATACACTCAGTGTGCACTATCCCTTTGAATAGAATTCGCTTTAAATGGCATGCGGGCAGTGCGGACACTGTGCAAACTAGAAAACAAGTTAGGGCCAGTTGCTGAAAAGTAAAAATATAAAAAATAGATTTATTTGTAAGGTGTAGGTAAATTTTTTTCGTCCATCGTATCGATCTTGGGGGGGGTAATTACCCCCATTACCCCCCCCCCCTTGTATACGCCGGTGACCTTTTTTCACGTGGTAAATCACGTGACATCTCTCAAATTCTGCTTATTTCGCTCGCTTTTACCGAGCCCAGCTACAGATTGAGGAAAGATTTGTTGGTCTTAGGCTGGGTTCGGTAATCAGGAAGTTGCATAAAATTTTATTTAGATGCAAAATGTATTTAAAGTGAAGCAAAATACTCTACAAGTATATTTCCATATTCAAATCCTCTTTATACTGAACCACTAATAAATAATTAATTATTCAAATATTGAATATAACAAAGGGCGCGAAAACGGTCTCAAATTGGTTATGACGTCATGGAACGGTAAACAAACAAAAGTGTGGTTATGATAACGCGAGCCGTCAGATACTTGTGCTTACATCGAATTCTACCGATGGATTCAGCATTCTATGTCGGCCATTGTCATTTTCCATTAACTAAACAAAGACACCCCTCGTTTTTATTCTAATCGGCGACTTCACCGATGTTACTATCATTACTACACTATATCTTTCTCTCTCTTAATGTATAGGGTGTGAGTTCACTGGAAGAGAATTGATTTCCAAAATCAACGTAACACTATCTTTGTTCAGTGAATGGAAAATGACAGTGATCGACATAGTCGCATAAACCAATGATAAAACACAATGGGTGAGAGAGAGAGGGAGTACACAGACTCGTTTTGACGGATACCGTCTTGTGACGTCATTCATTTATGAGTGTGTTTTGGCGCGAAGAGAGTTATTTTGAATTTCTATATTTTTTTTACAGAAAAACTCTTAGTTGAAAATTCAAAATTTATGTGGCAAGTGACTTTTTACAATTACATTTAATAAGAAAATAAATAAAAAATCTGCAAATTCCTCATTGCATCTGCGACCAAAAAGAGCAAATTTTAACGGACGTCACGTGATCATTTGTCTTTTTTTCTGGTGTCAAATCACGTGACACCTGTCAAAATTTGCTCGCAGATGCAATTACTAATATGGGGTGTTCATTTGTACTACTTTCCTTGCTTCAAGCAGATCTCAGCAGCAGATCGACGTTCACTTTTCCCTCATGAAAAGCAGCTCCTAGCAGATTTTTCTGATTTCACGAGCAGGTAGAGCAAGTACAAATTAACAGCCTTTAATTGAGTTCGGTTAATCCTTTTCGACCGAAAAGATGACAACCTCATGTGACCCTTTTTGTAACTTCAAATGAAAGATCACGCTAGTTTGTGCCTGTGGTCGTGCTATCGAAGAAATGACTCTAAGTTTAAAAAAATTAGCAAATCAAATAGATTTTCTGAAATCCCAAGGCGAACAACTGATTGATAA